GGCGGCAGTTTTGATACAAACGAGCGGCCCAGCCAGGTGACCATATGCTAATGTGCTGCTTCTGTTGTAGCTAGCAGGCGATTTGCTGGTTGACAGCCAGCTAACTTTAGCCGTGTCAGTTTCTGGTCAGGGCCTCTCGCGTCTGCCTCTTGTTACCTCCACTTCGGGGAATTCCAGGTAATGTTATTACTGTCTCTGTTATCTCACCGTAATAACAATGTAATGCTATGCTTTTAACTAGCTAACGTTAACTTTTTCATGTGTTAGCCTCTAGATGTGCTAGCTGTAACGTCGTTACACATGTAACGTTTCACTGTGCGGCTATGCTTCTGTAGCATATGCCATAGCATATTACGTAATAACTTGTAATTAAGCCCACTGTAAAGCATTGCTCTTTGTGCACTTTAATTAGCAATCTCCCTGGAATTTTTGTAGCTCCACAGAATCATTTAAGATAATTTTTTGTCTTTATGAAACAGGGATGCACAACGGAATTCAGATGCAGACCATTTGCAACACAGCAAACACATGACAAACAGTAGTACATTCCTGTAGTGAATTTGTTAGATTTGCACCATAAGGAACGTTACCAGCAGCCTTTCACCCCATCATAGGTTTTGAGTATTTTGTCTCTTTATCAACACTTTCCCAAACAAAACGACACATGAAAACATCTTTGTCTGTGTAAAAACTCACTCTAACCCCACCTTTACTTTCACGTGTCCTGTACATACTCTCGTTTAGACCACCATCATCTGCACACTCATCATTTCATAATCAGTTGATGTGAGGATAGTGAAGCAGTAAATGTTTGATTTAAATTCAGGGCCATGGATTTCCCGGGCCACTTTGAGCAGATCTTCCAGCAGCTCAACTATCAGCGTGTCCACGGTCAGCTGTGCGACTGCGTCATCGTGGTGGGCAGCAGACACTTCAAGGCCCACCGCTCAGTGCTGGCAGCCTGCAGCACCCACTTCCGCGCGCTGTTCACGGTCGCAGAGGGAGATTCCAGCATGAACATGATCCAGCTGGACAGCGAGGTTTGGGTCTTATTGTTGTAATAGTGTAAAAGGTGGCAGTAGTTACTAGAAGTAGAAGTAGTGAGTGAGTGTGTGTGTATGTGTGTGAGAGAGAGAGAGAGAGAGAGAGAGAGAGAGTTTGCCAGACAGAAAGAGACAAAAAGGCACAGAGAAACAGACAGATAAAGAGATAAAAAGAGAGACAGACAGACAGACAGACAGACAATCAACTTCCTGTGTGCTTGCAGGTGGTGACAGCTGAAGCTTTTGCCGCCTTGGTGGACATGATGTACACCTCGACTCTGATGCTGGGGGAGAGCAACGTCATGGATATCCTCCTCGCGGCCTCGCATCTGCACCTCAACAATGTAGTCAAGGCCTGCAAACACTACCTGACCACGCGCACCCTGCCCGCGTCCCCCTCCTCCGACAGACCCCCCCACCACCACCACCACCTCCACCACCCGCAGCAGGAGCAGCAGAGGCAAAGGCAGCAGCTGCAGCAGCAGCAGCACCAAGTCGCAGAGACGGCGGTAAACCCCACCCTCGCAGCCAACGCTAACCTTGCAGCAAACGCCGCCGCGTCGAAGCTGCAGCGCTCCTTCCTGCTGCAGCAGCTGGGGCTCAGCTTGGTGAGCTCCGCTCTGGGTGGGATGGAGGAGGACGGAGTCGGGAACATGGTCGGCGGTAGGGTGGTGGAACAGAGAGCCTCCTTCCCGATCCGACGCTTCCACAAACGCAAGCCCCCTCTGGCCCTGGGCCTGTCGGAGGAGAGGCCCAGGCAGAGGCAGCGCAGCTCCGGCCCGAACCTGGGGCTGCTGGGAGAAGAAGGGGCGAACGTGGAGCGGGAGGAGGGAGCGCTGCTCTCCCCGGACTCCCACAAGATGGGCGACGAATCCAAATTGGACGGCGCAATCGCCGGCCTGGTGGGGGCGCCCCAAGATGACCCCCAGATGCCCAGCCAGTCGGACAGCGGACACTGTGAGGGGGAGGACTCGGGGAGGATGCAGGGAGGGGTGAGGAAGGAGGAGGACATGGAGGAGCAGGACCTCCAGGTCAACAGAGCAGGGGTGAAGATCAAATCGGGGGCAGAGGAGGAGGAGGCAGAAGAACAGGAACAGAAGGTAAAGATGCTGCTTGAGTCGTTGTTGTGAGTAACTGTGAAGCCTCGGGCAACAATATCTGGTCGTGACATCTGTACGATTTGTACACATTAACACTTGAAATGATGACGGAACTTGCAATTTAATTCTTATTTTTAATTTATTCATTTAATTTTACAAAATTAACCCAACTACTGATAAAATAATAAGAGAAAAAGTATGAAACAAAATTTTAATCATAATCCAAACAGAAAGTAAAGTTTTCTTTAATTACTCATATGTGCAAGTAAAGAACCAATCTGCGTGCGAGTCCTGCTGCTTTAGTTTAGCTGCTGTGTAAAAACTCCTCCTTTGCTTCCCGCAGGTTGTGGTTAAACAAGAGCCGCTAAGCTCGCCGGAGCCAGTGGACGAAATCAGCGACGTGACATCGCAGGCCGAGCCCGGAGGCCAGGAGGAGAAGGCGGAGCTGAGCCCGGAGAGCAGCGACCACAGCTTCACCTCCGAGCCCCAGCCCAGCTCCGAGTCCCTGCTGCAGCCCGGCTCCCAGCTGCTCCTCAAGAGCGGCATGGCAGGAGGAGTCGGAGTCGGAGGCTTCGGGTGTAATAGCGGGCTGGGTGGCAAATCTGGTTTTAGCATCTCCAGCTTCCTCGGCCCCAAGGATTACACTGGTGAAGACGACCTCCCCAACACGACGACTGGCGACGCAGTGGCGCACCACTTCCTGCTCAGACAGGAAGCTGGCAGGCCGTTCGGCTCGGCTTCGTCCTCTCTCCTGAAGTCGGGTCCGCTCGGTGGCGAGAGTCGCAGCGGTTTTGGAGACAACCTGCAAGCCGAGTCTCTGTTCCTCCGTCCCCTGCACGACGGTTTGGGGAACCACAGAGGAGGTGGGGGAAGTGGCGGCGGGGGGCGTGGAGGGGGAGATCCCTTCGGTCTGGACTTCCAGCGCTCCAGTCTGGGGCTCCACTCCCTGGGGCGAGCAGGCGCAGCGACTGCCGCCGCCCTGGGTTACCCAGGTTACAGACGCATCGCTCCGAAAACAACCACTGGCGCGGGAGGAGATGAAGGAGCCGTCGGCCTCCTCCAGGACGCCGCCTCGTCCTCCTCCTCGAGCCTGGCGAGTCCTCTGCTGCTGAACGAGAGCAGCGGGTACGGGATGGACGGCGGCAGGCCCACCTCCCTCCTCCCGCAGCTGACCCGCGCCTCGGCGGACGTCCTGTCCAAGTGCAAGAAGGCGCTGTCGGAGCACAACGTCCTGGTGGTCGAGGGGGCTCGCAAATACGCCTGCAAAATCTGCTGCAAGACCTTCCTCACGCTGACCGACTGCAAGAAACACATCCGCGTCCACACGGGAGAGAAACCCTACGCGTGTCTCAAGTGCGGCAAGCGCTTCAGCCAGTCCTCCCACCTGTACAAGCACTGCAAGACCACCTGCCTGCGCTGGCAGAACAGCAACATGTCTAACGCCCTGCTGTAGGGCCGACGCCGCTGCATCGGAGTGGGATCAGTGATGAGCTAGATTCAAAGCCCCCCCCCCCCCCAAAAAAAAGTTTTCTGAAGCTGTGACAGAGCAGGCGGATGCGATCAGCTGTTCCCTCCTGATGACAGACCAAAGATAGGGACGATATTGTCATGTTTTCATGAGAAACCCACACTGTCGAGGCGGCTAAAGTCCTAGTAAACACATTTAGTCGCAGAAGGACAACAGGGATGCAAAGGTGCCACATGTGTTGCTATGGATTCATCACAGAATAACCGAAGATATATACAGTGTATAATCCCCTGAGAGTTTCTGACTGCCAGTCTAGACTTTAGTTGTGAAGCTGCTACACTGTTAGCTATGTTGTCTTTATAGAAGGTGTCATGTGAGTGAAATCGATCTGGTGAGGTGGTCCCTTTGTGCTGAACGTCTACAGTTGGCGGTGCGCTTATTGAAGCAGAGTTAACTCACTAATTTTTCCACCGCACGTTTGTGAAACGTGGAGCAGCAGCCCGCATCAGACTGGACTGCATATCGACCGTGCCTTGTTCTGCACGAGGGCAGTCGTACAGACGGCGGACCGACGGATTTGTGTGCCAGATGTGATGCCTGTAAGTGTTGAGAACTGTTGATGGCTGTGTGCTGCTGGTGCTGTACTGTAAACTAAAGGTGGATCGAGTCCGATTCAACTTCAACCGATGGAAAAGATGCCGGAGAATCTGGTGTATTGTTGCAGCGAAAACGCCGTCGACTGGACAAAACAATATCAACTTTTTTGAATAACCGAAGTGATGAAAAAAAAATCGCTGCATTCACTGGGCCTTGCAGTCTCTTTTTGAGAAATACTAATATTGCATTATAATGCTTATTTTAAATAACGACTTCACACGCTGTAAAACGCACCTTATTTTGTGTCATTACCTGGCACCTTTTTTGCGATTTTTCAATTGTATCAATTCTGGCATTTCCCCTCCTTATTGGTTACTGACCACAGAAGTCTTAGCTATCTTAACAGACCGTCCACACACATGTGTTTATTAGAAGGGTAATGAAGAAGTGCCGAGAGGCGGAGTCGTCTAAAGAGAAATGATTGGCTGAGGTTCAGCACATGCTGAAAAAGGGCTTTAGAAATGTAAATATTGCACATTTGTGGTCCGTCACGACAAAACAACTCCAGAAGAACTAAACATTGTGTGTCATTTTTGCTACTGTACGTGATATCTGTGCTGTATACACACCCCCGTCTTTGTACATCTTGCGAAAAGCACTTCTACAAATATTAACTATTATGTTTACTGGACTGTTGGATGTGGAAATGTCGCTGTATTGCAATTATCCAACTCCACCGGCTCTCAAGGGGGTTTTCAAGCTAACGGTCGTAGCATTTTTGCTAGCAGGTGATCTATAACACACAATGTCCACAGTTTGAAATCAAACACGTTGTGAAAAGTCAGAAAGTAATTTTTACAGGGTCTCCTGTCATTTTTTCTTTTTCTTTTTTCAGGAGTTTTAGCTGTTTTTTAATGTGTGTAATTTTAATGTCAACCTGTATCTGCAAATCCATTCATATCCATTAGAGTTAGACTAAAAAAAAAAAAGAACAGACATGCATTGGTAGATGGTTGTTTGATTGAAATCAGTGTTCATGCCGTGTCGTCGACTTCTGTTTAAGTGAACCGAAATGGTAGAAAAAAAAAAGACACGTTTGCCTTTTTGTATACTTGCTGTATCGTGTCTCCTGCACTGTCGATGAGAAACAGGCGGTCGTCGCTCCCATTCCTAGTCTGCACCTTATTCTACCTTGTTAGAGTCATGGCACTTTTACCAAATGTTAACGGATAACTTTCATCTTCAGGAGAGTCGTCTCCGGTTTAGATGTAGAATCAATGGTGAAGTCGTGATTATGCTCCTGAGAGTCCTCCGACATGGCCTGGTGAGGGCCATTATGGTGCTGTCTTCTAAAAGCTTTCGCGTAAACTCTTAATGTGAACCTCTGAAAAATGCACTGACTGTACTACCCCCCCCCCCCCCTTGTATGAATATGCCAAAATGTTCAAATGCATTAAAAAAACGATATTATAAAAGTCACTGCCTTACGCCCTCTAGCTTGAAAAGCTGGGCTTTTTGTTAATATGCCAAATCTGAAGTACTTCTGTGTGTTCTTTTCTGTGTACCGAACATAATGTAAACTCGAGAGGACTAAATGTTTGTCTCTTTGCTTTTGAACGCTATGAAGATTGTACAGTATGTTCAGCTGTTGTATAGACTGATTAAAAAACGAGGAAATTCAGTTTTGTTGCTGTTGACATTTTTTGGGAAATACGAGCTGAAGGAGCACACAAGAATAAGACGGTTGTTTTACACGTTGAAGATTAAGATGCAAGCGAGTAAATAAGCGTAGCGTTACAAAGTTTAAGCGCTGGTTTTATTTGAATTCTTGGAAATGAATAATTAGGCACACAAGTTGAACTGATGTTTCCTTCTCTACAGCTTGAGCTCTTTGATCATCGGCTCGCCCCGCAGGCCCAGCAGGAGGTTGTTTGCCGCCAGGGCAGACATGGCGTTGCGGGTGGTGTAAGAGGCACTGGCAATATGTGGGAGAATCACTGTGGGAGGAGAGCGTTTATAAAGACAGATGATGATGAAAGTTAGCCTCAAAGGAGCTCTGAACTGTCCCTTTAAGCACTGATAATGTTGTCACACTCACCGCAGTTTTTGAGGGTGAAGAGCGGGTGGTCTGTGGGCAGGGGCTCAGGAACAGTCACATCCAACCCAGCTCCCGCAATCTGGCCAGTGGACAGAGCCTCATACAGGTCTTCCTGGTTCACCACGCCCCCTCTTAACTCAACAGAAGGACCAGAATTAGAGAAAAGCACGGTTACCGTTCTTGCGGCCAGATTTGGGGAGACTGGATGGGCGTCATAGTCAAGTATTTCATTACACGGCATCGTCGTACAGTATGTGTCAAAGTGATTCAGTTGTGACTGTGCACCTGCTTGTGTTGATGAAGATGGAGGTGCTCTTCATCTTGGAGAAGAGGTCCTTGTTGCAGATCTCCTTGGTTTCCGGCGTTAAAGCACAGCACACAGCCAGGAAATCGGACCGCTCCGCCAGCTCGTCGAAAGAGACTAAAACAATCAATGGCCTGACATGTCATTTCCTTTCCTTAAAAGTGACAACTTATTGAGTATCTGTGAGGTCAGGATGTGAAAGCAGTAAATCTCAACAATCCTTACCGTACTCTGCATTGATGAGGCCGGCCAGCTCGGGCCTGGGGGCCACGTCCGCATAGATGAACTTCTTGACCTTGAAAGCAGCCAGGCGCTCGGCGATGGCCACGCCTTCGAAGACAAAGTGAGAAGAATCTGGCGTTTTTGGGGGGGTTTTTTTACGGGAATGGCAGTTTGATTGATGAGCGTGTTCGTGCGCATCGTGTTTCAGATGCTGCCGTGCTCACCTATCCTCCCCAGGCCCAGGATCCCCACGGTGCTGTTGGTCAGCTCGTGTCCACACAGCCACAGAGTTCTCCATGTGCCCCAGCCGCCACTGACGAGAGAGAGTTTAACATTTGACCCTCCGCCCCAAAAATGTCTTTATACGTGGATGGCTCTAAGTGTGTGTGGTACATTACGTCTTGGCTTCATGTGTGGCCTCTATGAGCCTCCTGGAGGTGGTGAGCAGCAGAGCCACAGTCAGCTCAGCCACAGAATCGGTCAGGACGTCTGGGGTGTAACCCACACGGATCCCTCTGGGGGAAAGCACACACACACACACACACACACACACACACACACACACACACACACACACACACACGTCCATTAAATATATCAACACCTTCGACTTTGATGCGTCTCAAGGAAATAGAAAGATGAGAATCACCTCTTCTTCAGCTCCTCCAAAGAGAGATGGTCGAATCCCACCGACATGGTGCTGAGGACCTTCAGGTGTGGACCTGCGGGAGTACACCAAAAACTAAATGCAGGGCTTTTTTTATTGCATTCGTCGCTCAACATACTCTAAAGGCCGTCCTCCCACACCGACCTGCAGCATCCAGCAGCTCTGTATCGATCTTCTCCGTCAACACGCAGACCAGACCGTCGACGCCTCTGACCTTCTGCAGGAGCTCCTCCCTGGGCACAGGGGCATCGTCGGAGTCCCACAGTTCAAACTGCACCCTGGGGAAACAGAAACAGGATCCATATCAAATGAATTTCTTAATCATCGGCAGAAGAAATGGCATTGGGTGCTCAAGCTTTCGTTAATGTTCCTACTAAGATATGGCGCATCTCAAGCTGTGCCACACATGCTGTCGGTTTATATAGAAACACTGGGGCCTTTTAAGGTGCAGAGAGAGTTTCTTCAGCTCTGCTGTGGGGGAATACCCTTTAGGCTAGTCTTATCTGACTAACCCAAAGGCAAACATTAGCAGCCCTGTTTACGCAAAGTAAATGATGAACTTCACAAAGCAGACCATTCAAAAAGGGTATCACAGTCAGCTACATGACATGATCCAGATTCAAAGTGACGGGACACTCACTGTCCAGATTCACGGAGGATCCTCAGGCCCTCGGGTGGGATCTGTCGGGTGACGTACACCCGTTGCAGAGTTGACATCTCCCTTAGTGCGTTGCTTGTGAGACCCCCAGTCAGTGGAGCAGCAGCGAACTGCTGGAGCTGACGCAGTGCCATACGACTGCACCACATTGCCAGGAGAGAGCGATTCTGAGGGGGTCAGGCGTCCGAGAGGCGACAGTGGCACTTTGGAGTTCAGAAGTCCTCCTGTGTGTGCATGTGTGTGATTTTGGCTCCAGTTCAGTGGGGGAGGTTCCCGCGTGTGTGTGTGTCCCTGACCAATATGATTAGAGGGAGGGTGTCTCTGAAGTCTGAAGTTGGGGGAGTGTCTGTCACAGACAAACTAAACACAGAAATCACTGAGTCAAGTCTTCTGTATATCTAGCTTTAGGATTAAGTGAATTTTTAGATAATTTTTACTTCAGGCCAAACAGATATATAGACCTGAAAAAGACACAGAAACTTTTTTTCTCACGTCCTCACACACACACACACACACACACACACACACTAAAAAAAAAGCACAGAGACACAAATTGCACAAATATATAAAAGACAGCAGCAGACTTGTTTTTTTCTTCAAATCATCTTCCAGAATGTTAGTCGGTGTGTAAATGTTTCACTCGGCTGTTGACCTTTGTTTCTTTAAACAGTGGAAGACTGAAATGCTGCTTTTCTGACACGTCTCTATGGCTGGGACCGGTTCAGCAATCTGTCCTTACTTTCTCAACTGGAGCTGAGATTCACACAAAGAAATAATAAAAAAAAACGAAACATATCAGTTAAAAACCTTTTTGCAAGCGTATTTTTAAAAGGTTGAAGTAGTTTTTAAGTATTTTTGATTCTGGCATTTAATCATTCTTTAAAAAAATAAACAATAGTTTGCAGTACAATATTTTCCCAGTGAGATGAGAAGATTGATAATCAAACAGTTGTCTTTGTCTGTGATTTCTCTGATTCTCCTCAAGCTGAAAATACTGACACTACCTCTTAAAATGCACTCAAATGCAAACTGCTGAAATATCCCAAACTTCTATTATTGTCATTAATCTGTACATTGCAACACGTTACACCCCTCACTATTTACTTCTCCTTTAGCTTTTTCTTGATATATATTATAATAACACCCCTGTTCAGTATTTTTGTCCTGGGCCTATGAGTTTGTGAAAATAGTTTTCTTGCTGATTTACTACTTGATATTTCATTTTTTTATTTTTCTATGATAATAGAAGAAAATATTAGTTATATTTCGGATTGGATTTAGTGAATAAATTCAATTTTAATCACAAAATAGCTGAAAAACACTGTAAACATATTGGATGACCTCGATCACGTGATCGTCGTAACCCGGAACAATTCCAACTTTTTAACCAGTCACAACCATTCATTCCCTCTAGCCCGTTGCGCATACTGACAGGTAGCTACGTAAGATTATTTGTCTCATTTTAACAATATTCACAGCGCCTTTTTCATATCGATTGGTAGAAAGATAATAACTAAAACCGCTGTCTACCCTGGGCAGTTATCCGTAGCCTAACGTGTGTGTCACCACTTTTAACGAGTTCATGACAAGTGTCCTCGCAACCGGCACCAGGGGCACTCAGCGCTAGCTAGCTGTAGCTGCTAACGCTGAGCTTTCCCCAGCAGGTTCACAAGTCAGCCAGCGGTTATTACGGTAGCTAACGTTAACTCAACTGCTGTGAGATTTCACTGTTGAAAGACGTCACTACGTTGGCTCGAGACAGTCAGTTTACGTTTGCGCGCGACTGACAGCTGCCAGGTTTAACAACATTGGTGACAACTCATATTAGAGTCAGCCGGGGTGTGTGGGTAAAGTTAGCCATTTAGCTAACCCACAACAGGGCGTTGGTTTTAGATTACTACCGGTGGACAACCCATGCGCTTTCTATCTTTGGTAATCCCTGTTTGTACTCTGTATGTGGTTCAGTAGGTAGAGCCGTGTTCTCAGACAGTTGAATTCCCCCCTCTACCCCTCCCAGCATGGCTGCAGACTCGATGGAGATTGATGACTCTCTTTACAGGCAAGTCTAGTAACCGCAGTCCCTTATGAAAGCACTGGAAATTACAGATAACGTGACATTACAGTAATGTGCTGTATACCACAGTCCCTCACACTTCCTCTTCCTGCCTCCCTTTCTTTGTGCAGCCGCCAGCGCTATGTGCTGGGAGACAGTGCTATGCACCAGATGGCCCGGTCCTCAGTCTTTCTCAGTGGAATGGGAGGACTGGGAATCGAGATAGGTAACGTTGGGCTAAAATGTCCTATTATTGCAGTGTTCACATGATCTACTGTCACTCAATGGTGGTTTGACACTGATTCATTCTGGTTCCACAGCAAAGAATATCGTCCTGGCTGGCGTGAAGGTATGCAGTACTTAATGTTTCAACGTGGAGTGTCCTGAGAGTTTGTCTTCCTGTAGCCTTATGTCTTTGTATCTGTGTGCAGGCAGTCACCCTTCACGACACAAAGCAGTGTGAAACCTGGGATCTGGGCTCCAACTTCTTTATCCACAAAGAGGACGTTTTGAGCCAGAAGAGAAGGTAAAACACAATGCTGGACTGTTGCTCTTCACCTCTGATATCCCTCACAATCTTAACGCATCATGTGCCTCTTCTGTCACATTGTGGCGCAGGGTGGAGGCAGTGTGCCCCCGGGTCGCAGAGTTGAACCCGTACGTCCATGTTGATGTGTCCTCGTCGGCTCTGGACGACAACACCGATCTCGGCTTCCTCGGGAAGTATCAGGCAAGGCTTCGCTTTCAGAATCTGTAGTTCTTGGAGAACGGAGGGTGGGATCGATCAGCTTGGATTCGCAGCAGATAAAATAGTTTGTGGTGGAGGCGAGGTGGAGAGGGTTTCAAAATCTAAATTAAAAAAAAAAAAAAAAAACACTCCTTCAACTTGATCTCCTTCACGGCTGTCATCCAAAACGCCCACTTGTTCCAAACCTGCATTGTGCTCTGCTCTCTCCTGCAGTGTGTGATTCTGACTGAAGCCCGACTCAGCCTGCAGAAGAGAGTGAACCACTTCTGCCACTCCCATCGACCCCCCATCAAAGTAAGTCCACGGTCCCCGGAGCGCTTATACACTGCACAGCGTTGGCTGGACCACGACTTGCACGTGGCGCAAAAGCGCAAACAAGTTAAACGCGAGAATGAACCGCTTTTTTTTAACCTGGTGTCCTTTCCAGTTCGTTGGCTGTGATGCGTACGGCATCTGCGTGCGGGTGTTTTGTGATTTCGGAGAGGAGTTTGAGGTGTCGGATCCCACAGGAGAGGAGCCCAAGGAGATTTTCATCCAAAGTATCACTCAGGTAGTCATCTCTCTCTTTCTTCTTCCTGTCAGGCAATTTCTTTAATTGTCAGAAGGTAGAAGAGCTTCATTTGATCTCCTTTTGTTAAATTTGGACCCTTCAGGACAATCCTGGGGTGGTAACCTGCATGGACAACCAGCCCCACGGCCTTCAGACCGGCCAGAGTGTTGTCTTCAGAGAGGTCAACGGCATGGTGGAACTCAACGGCACTGCACGGCCCATTTCAGGTATTATTTCTGCATAATAACTTCACTGTTTTTGGTGTATATTTACGATTGCAGTTGTAACACCAGCATTACCGATGAATCACAGATTTACATACCATTTAGAATATGGTTAATAATATTTATATAAGAAGAAACAAATGTGCTGTACCAAGAATTAATGAGAGATTTTCTGAATAAAGTGACATAAGAGCGCATTAATCTAGTGTGTGTGTGTGTGTGTGTGTGTGTGTGTGTGTGTGTGTGTGTGTGTGTGTGTGTGTGTGTGTGTGTGTGTGT